TTTTTAAATTAAAAAAAAAAAATCTAATAGTAATGGCCCACATTGCACCTGCCCTTCACAGTCCTGATAACTTTTCCAGCTACACATTTCCTACTTTCTGGATCAGTCAGTCTGTGTGTCACCAGTCTCCAAAGAACATGTTTTGAATTTATTAAAAAAGCCTGATAGAAGTAGAATTCTCTCATTTGGCAAACATACCATCACAGGGACACTTGCTTTTGGCTCCATGACAAGAAATTCATGGTACTTTATCCAATCCACAAAAACACCATCCCTCCCTCCCAAGCAGCCTTTCAAGATAATTCTCTCTCCTCCAGAGACTTCTCTAAACAAGTCTGCAAGTCTGAACTCTTGGGTTTCATTTCATAAACAGGACACAACACCCGAGTGTAATTCAGGACACTGAGCCCATGGGCTCAGCACTAATCACAACAGCTTTCTGCAATATTCCCTAGGCCCCTTCTTTCCAGAGACAAGGCCTGATTTTTAGACTGGACATCTTTTGAAGTAGGCACAAAATATCAACAAGAATCCAAGCACCAGATCCCAGCCAAAGGGTGTCCATTAGTCATGGCAGGGCTAGGAAGGAAGGGAAGGGCAGCTGGCCCCAAAACGTGGTGTCTGTGCTGCTGCAGTTACCACATCTCTCTGAAAGGATTGCCCAATCCTTGAAAAGGACAGAGACATCCTTCAGATAATCATTTAACTCGCACTGGTTTGTTTTTTCAACAGCGCCTCTAAACAGAATCTCCTCTTCTAAAAGCACTCTCCCTCCTCAAAGTTTCCAGCCTATTCTGGATAAAATATTTGGTGAGGGCTCCACTGACACAGCCACGAGAGACCTCACAGTGGTGAAAGTAAGCAACCTCCCAAGAATGTGTGGATTCACCAGTTGAACAGATGAAGAACAAACACAGGGATGAACAAACATCAAATCCTCACATGTATTCAGCTCCTTGAACACCTCCAAAGAAACAGATTTTAATTCACTTCTCCAAATCATTGAGCAGAGATCTGAATCCAATTCCTGGATTCTAGAGCACCTCCCTGGCTTTACTGTTTTATTACAAGCTTCCCTCACTACCATTCAACAAGGGACCAGACTCTACTCCTGTTCATCCCAGTGGACTCGCATCAACTCTGACAAAGCCCAGGGAGCTCTTTGGAAGTCAATCAGTGACATGGAGCCATCTCTAGCCATAATTATCAGCTACTCAAAACAGGTTACAAATAAACTTGAAGGACTCAATCACTTCTGACCATAAAGAGCCAACTACTTAAATGTGCACAAGCCAAGGAACTCATAAATGAAAGAAAACAATTTGTCAAGTATCTTCCTGTTGAAAATAGACTGTGTACTAAAGAGAGATCTCCCTCTTTCACAGAGATACAAATATTAGTTATGTGCTTCCCAGAAATGCTTTTTATCAACTACTGGCATTTGCTTTTCACTTTGCAATCTATCACTACCATAAACAGTATGAATTTCTTTCTTATAAAACTGAGAAACTCATGATCCTGAGATCTGTTGGAAGGAGATCATTTAGAAAAGTGAAGTATATGAAACATCTGTTCCACACTTTCCCATGTCATGATGGCAAGCAGCTGAAGACTGACTGGACAAGTATTTTCACAAGAAAATTATATGGGTCAAGTTCATAGATGAGCTGAAGTCTCTACCAGATAGCACATTACTTTCCCCAGATATTAATATAGCTAGAGTATAATAATATGAAAAAAAAACCTGCATAAATATTCAACTTGTTCCAATTTCTTTTGGTCATTTTGGGAGTGGCTTGTAGCACAATGCTGGACACCCTCTATCTCAATGTCAGCCTGACATTATTCCCTACATTTCCAAACTCTCCTTCACTGGTCTAATCTCTCTTTCGTTAGAATTCATCTTAAATTCCAGTACACATGAGCTCATTTTGCAGTGAGTGAGTTGCCTATGATTGGAAATGGCCCTGAAGCAGAACTCTGGGTCTAAACACACATGACCTTTGAGAAATTTGTGTGTGGATTCCACCCAGTTTAACAGCTCAGCCCTATTCTTATCTGCAATGTAATCCCTCACAAGACTCCAGAACACACTAAGATTACAGATGTGCATCTCTGGTAAGAACTCCCCATCCACAACACAGTAGCCTGTAACTAAACCAGAGAGGAGCTGAGATTTTATTAAGATAGCTGTAGCCGAAGTACCATATAAAGGAAAGGTTACCAGAGGTCCTGCATGGGGGAGGGAGAGCAGTGAGTCACACTCGGCATGAGCAGAAGTGCTGAGCCTCTGAAAAGCAGTCTATCACAGCTCTTCCTCTCCACCACAGCATTTCTGAGAGAAGACAACTGAGTATTCAAGTGGCAAAACCAACACTTGTTATTGCAGCCTTGGGGGGAAAAGCTGAGAAGTTCTAGGTTTAAATTTTTTAACTAACATTTAAATTAAATTATAATAATAAATGTTATTTAAATTAACATTTAAAATTTAAATTTTTCAAATAACATTTTTTAAGTAACATTTTTATAAAATGCAGAATAGTCAGCTACTGGGATCATTCAGGACAAGTTAATGGTTGTTCATCAACCCAAAGTAGAAATAATAAAACATAACTACATTAAATATGAAGCATTACAGGCAACAGCTTTCCAAGAACAATAGGAATCAAAAATTTGGAACTCATCCTTTGCAACTGATGAGTGGATGTTGTTCAGTGAGATATAGAGCAATTACAAAGCCAGAAGGTAAAAAATTCTAGATGTTTGAGCCTCCACCTCAGATGTAAGAAACACTTATTGTTTATTATAGGTCCACTGGAAAAAAAAATTGGCAACAAGGCAGTTCAAGCCAGCAGAATGAAAGGTGAAAGACGTAGGATTTCATACTTAGAAACACACATCAAGAACTGCTTTTCAAATACATCAAACTCTGATCTCACACTACTTTGTGCACAGTGACCTCACTGAAGGCAAAAAGACTTTACATAATTTCTAAATGTCAAATACATAGAAAATGTTTTAGAGAGCCCCTTAATAATTTAAAGAAGCAAGGTCTTTGCTATAAAAGTGCCTTCAGAATTGCATTTATTTTGGTAAAATCCACATCACCAAAACAAATTTTAAAAAAATAAATCCTTCTTTTATCAGGGCCAAGTTCTGTATGATTCACACTGACTAACACTGTGTCTTGCCCTGTGAATAGACTCCTTTGTGCTCAAAGGTAGAAGGGGTGGTAAGAGGTAATAATCTCATACATGATAAATTCACACTTCCCCTGTATTATGAGCATATGCAGGACAAATTACTTGACTCCACCAACCTACAAGAAAATTCTCAGAAAACAGGTGTACATGGGGTAAAGCAGAGAAAGGGAAAAAAAAATAAGGTTTGATGCCAGCAAAATGTTTCTTGTCCTTATTTTCCTGTCTTTTTCTTTCTTCCTTGTTATCCTACAAGAAAATCCACTAGAGCCAAAACAATGGGCTTGATTTTGGGGAGCACATTAAATACAGCAATGAAGGATTTACAAGGAGGTATTTTACTCAAAATAGAAGATTCTGAACTGAAGTGTGAGGGAGGACTTTGCCCAGAGAGTCATTTCCTAACATTTCTTTCTCCCTTACGACACTCATCAATACAATCAAAAGATGGTGAGTAATCACATTGTCCTTGCTAAGGAAATGAACTTGTCAGTCTAAATTCAAGCATCTCAACTTTTGAGTATAATCCTCTGCAACTCTGGGGTTATTTTCAGAGAGATTCTCTGCTTCACCTGCAGGAAATTGCAGCCAAGGACACAAAGCCAAAGCCAGGCAGGACCATGGAGCTGTCAGGATCACTGCTCTCCTTTTTCAGAGCCTCCCTCATCTCATGCCCTGAGCAAAGTGTGCTAATTCTAAAAGTCTTGAGTACTTTCACAAGATGCAGACCCTGGAATATCATCTGGGAGTCAAGGATTTATCCTTTTGAATGTAGAGTTGGGTCAGGTGACAGGACTGTTTAGATTGCAAGATCTGTGAGGTGGGAGTTGTTCTTCTGTTACATAATTCAGAGTTAGACAGCAAAACCTGACTGAAAGTCCAAAGGAAGAAGATTTAAGATGCCATTTATCAATTATCATCTGGCAAGTCCTTGCACAACTCCTCTTTTTGCATTTTTTAAGTCAATCACAGCACTTCACTGCTGTATAATGCAAGGAATACATAATATGTAATGCTCTAACAATAGCTGTCAATCAGGAAAACTAACTAGGGGGAAATAGAGTACTCAAATAAAAAGAACTATATTTGATAAGAAGGTATCTCTATTTCCAAAGAGACTAAAACTATCCTGTGGCCAGTTTTCTAGCAGACTACATTTTGCAGATTCCACACCATAAACTGCAATGGAAATAACTGTGAGCTGCACTGAACTGGGCATGATTTTAAATAAATAATACTGATTTCAAATAAATAATACTAGCCCTCACTTCTCACAAGGATCTGCAAATGTCCTTCACCTGTGCTGGTCACTTTAATCCAGATTTTTAAGGGGTTCTCTCAGAGGGTTTTGTTCAATTACTCAGCAAGGATTCCAGGGTACTTTCGTGGAGCAGCACAGTTGCCATATTTTACAATGAAGTGACCATTTAAAGTTAGATTTTACCAGACCACTCCTATATGCCAAAGAAATGCCTATTTCCAATTCTCGAAAAAGTCAATAAATTTGTCAACAAAATATATTTCAAAGAATTATTGAAAGTGTATTTCACAGGAACTCCAGCAATCATATTTATGTTCCAAAATGACATTTTGTAGCAACACACTGTATCTTTGAATTCCACTGCTCCCAGGAACAACTTTGTTCAGGAATGCACAGTGCAGGCAGGAGATAGGTTCAAGATGTTTTGGGGCTGGCTGAATTACAGACAGATGTACATAACAGCAGGTCCAGTCAGAATGAATTAAAGCAGAAATGTACATAAGAAAATAGAAAAAATCATATTGTTATAATTAACATACCTTGCAGTGACACCTGTGGCTTTCCAAGATAAGAAATCCGGAAGATCAAAGAAGTAGCCAACCTTCTCCCACGATTCTGGCAAGTTCTAATAAAAATATGTTTAGAAAGGCAGATATTAGAGGTCAGGCATGGTCATGCCCTTATTTTAATGTAATTAAAATCCTGATATTTAGGTAAAAATGACAATTTTTTAGAACTCATTGCTCTGATCATCCAGTCAGCTCTTCTCTCTGATTTACTGCCTGGTGAGCTGAGCCTTTCTCCCAGCACAGACTGATCATAGACAAAGTTCCCCATGAAGAACTCATGGAGGCACAAGTTTCAGATCAAAAACATGGGGTGTCTCTGTTCCTCATTAGCTGCTTTATGTCAGAGCAGTTTCAAAGTCAACAACTTTATCAAAAAATATTTGCCTGAAAAATGTACTATTTTCTAAAGTAAGCCATTTGAGATTTAAAAATGCTTAAAATTCAAGATTTAAAATTTAATATTTGTTAATTATAAGCATAGGAAGAAAACAAAGAGCTCTGTGAGCACACAAACAAAGCTTGCAGATCTGAAAAGCCACACAACATTCCCAAACTCCTACAAAACTCTTCTACTAAGATAGATAATTTACAAGGAGTTTCCACCACTGTTTTCTGAACACAGATGATGGTCCAGAAAAGGCTGGTCACATCACCTGGGCCAGGCTCTATTCTTTGTTCCCATCTCCAAAACTCAGTCTGATTTCAGCTGATGTTAGTACTGCACAGTCTCAAAACTACTTTTCTACAAACACAATCTCCACACCACCCACAGGTATCAGACCACGATGAACGGGAAGAAAGTTTTCCCAGGAGCAATGTTGTATTCCAGCGTGACAGACTGAGCATTGCTGTCCAGCAAAGCAACCCCAACGGCCCCCTCTAACCTCAGTACATTAAAATAAGTAGAGAATATCAAAACTACACAAAAGCCCACAAGGGTCACAAATTCAACTTCCATGGGAAGATAAGATTGCTTGGAAAACCTCCACCAGCTTACTAAATCATTGAAAAGTGAGAAGTTTTCTCACTTAAGATCAGCTCCTGCTCTAGAAACACAAGTCCTTGCTGGGGTCTTTCTGCAACAGAAATTAAATCCATGCAGTGTCAAGAATGTACAGGCTGAACTAAAGGAGAAGATCATTCCATTTTAGAGAAAACATTTGGCTCTTAAAATTCTTCCCTGTGAGGGTGGTGATGCCTTGGCAGAGGTTGTCCAGAGAAGCTGTGGTTGCCCCATCCCTGGAAGTGTCCAAGGCCAGGTTGGACAGGGCTTGGAGCAACCTGGGATAGTGGAAGGTGTCCCTGCCATGGCAGGGAGCTAGAATGAGATGAGCTTTAAGGTCCCTCCCAACCCAAATCATCCTGTGATTCTATAACATACTTTAGATACTCTAAGGTATCAAACCAAAATCTTAGAAGCTCAGAAAGATGCTGAAATGGAATCAATGAATTTGAGAAACTAAGGTACAACTGGGTAAGTACAAAAAAAGCAAAATTTTGCTTAGTTTTGGGTCATGCCAAGAATCTGTCTTAAAACCTTTTGAGTTTAGACCTTGAAAAGGTTCTAAAACTTACTGGGTTTCTATTGAGTTCAAAAAAGAAATGCTCTGATTACAACTTTTTAACACAAAACACACAACCTTTGGATGTCTGCTCCTGACTACTCAGGTTTAGCTCACCTCCCAGACATATGTGGTTGCTACTCACATCAAATCTAACTTCCTCTATGAATGCCAAGGTGCTCCATAGTTTAGCCCAAAGAATATTCCGCTAGATTATTTTGATAATAAAAGCCATCATGTGTTGTTAACACACCTGAGAGTCTTCAAAAAGCAACAGGCTGTTACTATCTGGCTGTTATTTTAATCAGAAAAGAAAATTAAGAATAACTGTCCTCTTCAAATAAATCTGTTTCATCAAATACTCCTTGGATCCTTATTCTATTACTGCAAGAATTCCCAAAAGCCACATGTTAGTGACATTCAAAATAACTTTGTTTCATGAACATCCAAATGATTCATTTTTTGCCATCTTGATGCTGTGTCATCACTAATTAGTACAGACAAAAAAAAAAAAAATCATAGCACGCCCTCATGCTTTTTCCAAACAAATTTAAAGTCTCCATGTTTTCAACACTCACTGAAGTTAATTCAAATTTATTTTCACCCAGTCAGGAGTCTGTGACCACATTAAAAGGATTGTGGAAAAGATCCAGGAACGTTCCCAATGCTGTATTCACATCCTGCAAGTCACCCTCCAAACTCACTTGCAAAGGAACTCACAATCTTTCTGCTTTCCAGAGGTGCTTATGGGGTGCCCTTTCTTCATCTCTCTCTCCGATTCCTTTGGGTTGCTTTAACAGCTACACCTCCACAGAATGTTTTGAGATTGTTATAGGGAATCCCAAATACTTGCAGTCAAAGAGTTTAAGAATTATGTACTGCAATGCATTTTAATCTTCCTAGGCAAGAAGGGAAAATGAAGGATTTCTTAATGAAAATACATACATCTTTATCTAAATTACTGAAAGTAAATGCACATTGTGTGAAAGGAAGAAAGGGAATTATTCGCACACTCACAGGGATATAAGAACTCATGTCCCATGCCCTGCTCCAACTCAAAGCAGAGATTTACAACTTGCATCTCCCACACTTCACACTGGATGCCAAGACATGTGATAGAGCTATTCCAGACACCCAAGATAGCCATGAGCAGAAATTCCATTCTTGCCAGAGCCATGGCTGCAAACTGATCAATTCTGACACAACTTGCACTCTAACTGGTAAAAGATTAACTGGCTGAATTATCAGAGCCAGGAACTGGGGCAGGGGGAAAGGAGGGGCTTGGAAAGTAAACTCTTGGAGTAAGGCTGCTGCTGAAGAGGGAGAAAACTGCCTGCACCACCCAGACACTGGTGCAGGCATCCTTAAATCCCTGAGGTATCCTGGGCATGGCACAAACAGGAACAGCTGGAACAAACAGGAACAGCTGGAACAAACAGGGAGGACAGTGTGTGCCTGCTGGAAGCCTTGTCCCACTGTAGAGGAGAGGAGACACAGAGGGGACAGCCCAAGCAGGACGTGTTCTGAGGTGCAGGTGCTTCAAATCTCCCAGCTGTGAGTGCTGTTTCTAAATGGCACTTCTGCCTGATCAGCAACTGCAGCTAAAAACCAGATTCAGTCTGAAATACAGCTTATGCATGTGTGTCTGCACTGTGTATGGATTGTGATAACACAGAGTGTTGAAACATTTATAAACAATTCTAAACAAGAGTTCAGTTCCAAACTCAACAGCCTGGAGTCATTCTCATTTAACACAGAATTTATTATTCATTTTAATGGAAAAATATTCAGTCATATTCAACAAGACAAAAAGCCAGCTGCAAGGGCAGCAAGCAGTGAAGAAAACATGCACCAGCAAAGGAGCTGCTGCCAAGCAAATGCCACTGCATGCACTATCCTTCCCCTCACTGCCAGGGAAAGAGAGGTTTTAATTGTTTCTGCAAATGATCCCACTGTAAGCTGCATGAGTGTACAGGAGGAAGAAGGCTGATGGATCAAACAGCAGCTCTAACTGAGGATGTGAACTGTCACATACAGGAAGATCACTGACTGCCATGAAAAAAACCTACTCACTGACTATTGACTTAGTTATTAATGGCAGAGGAATGATATGCTAAATAGTCACTCCATGGTTTGGGGTTTTTTTCCTAAAGGAAGGCTCTTCTTCGCTCGTAAATATACAATTAAGAGCAGAGTTGTGAAAACAGAATATAGAAGACTGCATTTCACTGGGAGGCAGTTACCAAGCAAATACCTATCCCCATCCAATATGCCCCACCCACTTAAAATAAACAATAAAGTTCAGCATCTCTGATTTAATAGGACTAGTATTTTTTAGAAATAGCTGGTATGTAATGTCATTAGTATGAGGAAAACATAACATGCATCCTTTCGTTTTGGCACAAGCTACAATAACATTTTCAGCCAGAAATTAGTAAACAACATTTTTTTCTTCTGCTATCTCTAGGAAAAAAAGTATTAACAGGCTAGTTCTGGAGCTGGGCAACCCTTCCCTGCAGTTCTTGCATTGCTGTGTTTGAGCTGTGCGCTCACTGCTCTAACACTGGTTTGCCACAGCATCAGTAAATGTACAGTTGTGTTGTACTGACAAACTCCTGCAGCAAAATAATTCCCTAGTGAAGGAGCTGTGTGGTCACATTTTCAGCTTACATGCAGGTATCCACCTCCCAGAACTACCTATGGACTAGGTAGGCAGTGAACATCCAATTTTTTTTAGACAGTCACCAAAATTACAGAACCCACTTAATAAACTGGACAAAAACATACCAGCAACTACAGAAGTAAAAAACTATTGCAATAATGTTTTGTCAGAAAATTGTAAAGAACAAATCTAAGGAAATAACAGCAAAATGAGTGAATTTAATTGGCTATTTTAAAAGAACCACTAACTACTTTCCTTTTTTGTGAAGGTTATATTCAAATTTACCTTAGTAGCTTCAGGAAGACTTTGTCAGAACCATCTTTCAGCTAGTTGCTAAATATTTGTCAAAGGATACTGTGTCTCACCTTCACTTACAGTTGATTTTCTCAATTCATGTGACCACATGCCAAAAGTCAAATGTGGCTGCATCCACAGAAGCAAGCTTTATAAAAAAACATGTATTTGTTTGGTTTTGCATTTAACACTGGACTCTATCACCACACATGATCCACACAGGCAGAAAAATACAACACTCTTCCTAAGTGAGCCATAGACATGCACACTTTAACCAGAGTGCCCCACAGTAGCTGCATTCAGCTGATCATTTACTGCCAACAGCTGTGCCCAACACACAAACTCCACCTGCAGGGATGGCTTTACCATAGGAACACCTATCTGCAATCACAAGCATCAAGACCAACCAATTAATTTCATGGATGATAACTAAGAGGTGCCAGAAGGTAAAATGATTCAGCCCCAATCAAACTGAACTCAATGTAAGCAAATACAAATCAAAGAGAAGATCTCAAAAAGCCTACTATGGCCTTAAAAATTCAGGTTTTTAATTCAAACTCAAAATGGAATGGAGATGAAGAGCTGGAAGAAGAGAATAACACCCTGAAGCCTCCAGTCACATTTCTATGCTGTGTAGGGAGATGGAATGTTAAAGAGAAAACATTATATGGAAAAGAAAGTCAGTAAGAATCAGATGAGAGTAATTTGTGACTTGAAAGAAAACCTGAAGCAACCCTCCACAAATAAATACAAGGGGAGAAGAAGAAGAAAGCCACAAGAGATAAAGACCAGTATCTACTTCTTGTACAGTGGTGTCAACTCATTCCTCTCACTGAGTGAGGTCATCTGCAGCTTCGATTCCAGGAACAAGGTGATGGAAATGGAAAAGCACACTTAGGTCATTATTGAATCCCAGAATGGTTTGGATTGGAAGAGATCTTAAACATCACCCAGGTTCCACCCCCTGCCGTAGGCATGGACACCTTCCACTATCCCAGGCTGCTCCAAGACCCTTTTGGCCTTGGACATTTTCAGGGATGGGGCCATCACAGCTTCTCTGGGCAACCTGTGCCACAGCCTCAGCACTCTCACAGGGAAGAATTTCTTCCCATCTAACCCTGCCCTCTGTCAGTGTGAAACCATTCCCCCTTGTCCTGTCACTCCAGACCTTTGTCCAAAGTCCCTCTCCAGCTGCCTTGTAAGTCACCTTCGTCCTTTCCCCCTTCTCCTTCCTCTTCTTTACTTCCAACCAATTCACAGTAAATCTGCAAAGTCATATATTCTTTAGTAATGCTTTTAATTGCTTAGATGAAAATTCTTCAAGCCACAGAAATTCCATTTCTCTCTTTACGAGACACCCTAATCACTCACAACTTACCAGCACTGCTGGTCAGACCCATGTCAGACCCTTCCTCACAGAGATTAGGTTTGCAAACACTGTTTTTAGGAGAACCCAAGGCAAAACATGAGACAAGAGTTTCTCCTAATATGGCCTTCCAGACCCAGGTCAGCACCATGGAAAGGGAGAGGATTGGTAACAATGTACACACAATTAACTTCTCACTGTAACAACAGACCAACCGTCATTAAGTATCAGTACTTTAAATATCTTCCTTCCAAAAGTGCACCTAGTAATCTCCTAAATTTATCTTTTATTTATTTTATCTTTATTATTTAACTTATATTTTATTCTTTCACTTCAGACATAAAGCAATACTTTTCCCCACTGCACTCTTTCTGCAAAACCTGTATGAATGCAAGCAGCTATGGAATGTGCACAGCTCCAATCTCAGGCAAAGATGTACAGAGGGAAAACAGCAAAAACATTTAATAGCAGAAACATTAAATTCCTGGGGAGTTCAAAATAAGGTCCAGAGAATTCAAAGCAAAAGTCAACAGTGATTTCTCATATATTAGAGTGTACAAGCTGACCTGGACCATGACTGCAAAGTGTCTGGCTGTGGGTTTTGTTCTGCTTTGTTTTCTTTACAAACATCCCTGTGTTGAATGTATTGCAGCCATGTCAAGCCTTCTGATCAAGAACTTTCCAGAAACATGATGCCAACCAAAGGAACAAAGGCTCAAAGTAGCTTCTGGATACACCTTGGTTTAGCCAGTTTTGATTACACATAGGAGAACGTGCCCAATCCACTGGTTTTGTCTTAACTTCCTGGGATGCTGTCAGGTATATAACAACATTAGGGAGGAATATTGAGAAAGGAATAAAGAAGGAAAGGGAAAGAAAAACCCACCTCATTGCACTCAATAGTCAGGAAAGCTGGAGAAACCAAAGCTATGATCACAGCCAGGCACAGTGTGGGGAGCACTGTAAAATTTTCCCAGGCAGTTAGCAGGTCAAACTAGGTACAGTGCACTCATTTTCTGAACACCAGTTAGCATAATTAAGTAAGAGCATAATGGGAATTTCAGTTTTACACTTTGCAAAGCCCTCAGATAGAAAAGATAGAATAAAATGAAAATGTGTCTTTCTACCTGCTAATCTTGCAATTTTCCCATGGGATTTGAAAACTAAGCTTCCTTTTTACCAGCTTGTGCATTATCACTAGCTTAAGAAATAATCCTGTAGTCAGAATATAAAGCATATTTTCCCTGTGTTGTGTAAGCTAGATCAAAATCTCACTCTGCCATTGGGAAATACATTAAACACAGAAAATAAAGATGATACAACTCAAAAAAAACCAGAAGAACACATTAAATACCTTTCTATAAATATTTTTCCTGACCATATCTGTAATACCTGTGTCACAGTTTACAATATATAAAATATTTAAAATATGAAGAGACTTAAATAATTTATATTTGTAGCCCAATTCAAGACAGCCCACTAAGAAACATCAGATGTGCACCTGCTGTTGTAGGTTTCATCTGAACAACCCGACATTCAAAGTTATTGTAAGATTTGCCTTCCTTTACAAAAAGTGAGGGCACTTGCATTACATGAGGCTGAGTTTGAGCTGCCAGAGGCCAATGTGACCCTTTGCGGACATCCCTGATGTCAGGTAAGCCCTGGATGCATTACTGTGCCTGGCACTGAAAACAAACCCTCCCTCTGCATTTAATTCCTTTCTCCCTCCTACTTTGCAAGGAGTACAGAAGCAGTAAAAGCACTCAATCCCTCACCCCTCCAGAGTTGAAAGGTTTAGCCAAATCTCAGCAGATTACAGCCCACTGCAGGGTAACTGTTCCTGCTCCTGAGCAGCTGAGGTGCTGCTGTGGGTTCTGAGGTGCCCAAGCTAAACAGGACAAGCTTAAGCAGTTTAATGGTGAGTCACACCCAGAGCACTCAGGAATTGTGAGTGGGCAGCTCAGCAGGCAGACACTGAGGTGAAAAACCCTCTCTTAAGGACAATAATCTCCTTAGCTGGTATGTCAGGAGCTGAAAAGGGACATGTGAACAAGCCTTGTTCTGTACCACCCTTCTGCCAGGAAATCCCTGCTGCTGCCTGGGGCCAGGAGAATCCTGTGTCCCACCCACTGGCTCATGGAGGGAACAAGCCCTGCAATGCTCTCCCCTTTACACCACAGCAATCGTGCACAGGCCTTTGAGGTCACAGCAGGCTCACACCTCCATGTGACCATATCTGGACACCCCATAATTCTGGATTTCCTGAGCAGTCAGGTACAGATATCCCAGACCCTGCAATATAAAAATGCTTTAAATGCAAAGGAGTAATTTAATGTTTCTACAGCTTACATTTTGTTATTTATAAAATGTCTGATGTATGATATTCATAGCTCGAGAAGGGAAGAACTAGTAGATGGCTATTCATTATCAACATTCATTACCCCCTATTATCATTAATCCGTCAGTACCTGCTTCTACCAGTTAATTCCTTTAACTTTCCCTAATCTGCACCTTGTTACAATCTAATGTCTCATGTCTATAAGGACAGGAGAATTTGACTGCTTGAAACTGGCAGCAAGTAATTTATATTTGGGCTTTGTTAAAATGACAGTGAGCATCATTGAGGCCAAATGTAAAAAGCCAGGCTAGAGGAGGTTTATAAAAATTTCAAGTGGCAAGTGTCTCTCCTTTTATCTGACAGTTGTTATTCATTGTAACACACCAAATTTAAACACACCAGACAGAGGCAGAGCTCCACATTATACACAGGGCACCTTCCCTCTACACATGGTTTATTCCTACTGATGGGACAGAACTGAACTGAAGCTGGAAGTGGAGAGTTCCTCTACCAGCAGCCAGGCCATCACACCCTAAACTGCACCCCTATGGCACTCCAGGCTCCAGCTGGAATAGGAAACACATCTCCATAACTAAATTCTAGGATACTTAATTTATTATCTGTACTTCTATTTGTATGTATATCTAATCTTAGATAAGAAAGGCATACGGAATGTTTCTTTCAGGGAACACTCCACTTCAATAAAATCAAACATTCTTCTACAAAATTGAGAGGAAGAAAGAACCTTAAAATGTTGAAATTACAACTTTAGCCTGACCTTACTCTGCATACACCTTAGCATTCAACACTGACTGAAGGCTTTTGTTGTAGAAATCTCATTCTCAGGAATTAACAAGGGCACTAATCACTAGTAAAAATGCACCAGAGTGTTAAATGTACTCACTTCCTTTATCCAGAGCAATTTAGGAGGCTGCATTTCCACAGACATGGCTCCCCCTACGTAGTTCAGAACCCTGTGCTGGGTGGCATTGATGCGCTGGACTTGGCTCACTGCACGATGGTCCATCCACATGATCACATTCCTATGGTTCTGTCCTTGGGGGGAAAGAGGAAAATGAGTTCTTTTAGCTCTGCTTTAACCCCAGCTCAGCACTCTAAGTTATTAGGCTCTAAACTGCTTCACACTTTCACTTCTGCACTGAAAACTAAAATTCTGTTTGTGTTAATAATTCACAGTGGGTATTTAAATATAAAATTTTAGCCCTCTGACCCAACTTTAGCACATGCTGAGCACTGAGAATGCTGACTGAAACCAATCAGGCTTGTGAGCATCCAAGAACTGTGAAACACCATTTTCTCTTGTATTTCATTTCAAGAACCCAAACTTCCTGACAAAGTTCGCATATTTAGTTAAAAAAATAAAGGAACATTTTGGTGACCAAAAACTAAAAATGTGACAAAATCTGAACCATTATGTTGTGAATTGAAATTAACCCCATCAGCTACAGTGATTATCTTTCCTTTTCTATGGTTATGAGAAGAACCACCCTAATTCCTTTCCAAAATACTGTTCAGAGTGGGATAATTTGCTGAAATGCTTTTATTTTGGATGTGCAAGGAAAAAAGTATTTGGCAAGTCTGCAGCACACACAAATGAGAACAAGAAACAAAGAACGTTTTATCCAAATGAACCTCCAGAGGACCTGCCAGAGAGAGGGAACAGTAATCCAGGTGACACTGCAGATTCATCTCTGGCTAAGTAAAAAGGCAGAAGTGTGAGGCACTTCAATATTTCTAAAATGGGTTGAAATACAGCTCAGAACTGTGAAACTGCCTGAAACACCACCACTACAAGGCTCTTCACAGCATTACAGTATTGAGTGAATTCTTGTCTTGTTGTTTAGCACCACCACTGTGTAAACTCAAAGTTCTCGGGGATATCAGAGCACAGAAAATGAGAACTGAATTTGACTCATTAGACCCAAAATAGCCTCAGACATCATTAGGCATTGAACAGATTATAAGAGACTCTCAAACTGAAAAATAAATAATCTTATCTAAATTTAGAAAAGGACATTTTGGGGGCAAAGCTGGGTTTTGAGAAGGGTAGAAAGAGATGACAAACATCTGAGAATAGAAAGGGAACATACACAGAATTATGATTATGACATAGCACACACCTAATCTTAAGTGGGATTCACTGGGTAAAAGAAGTGCAGCACAAACTTTTTGGGAGTCTTCTGAATTATCTATCCAAAAACTAATAAAACCCCCCCAGATTTTTAGAAAAAGGTCACAGACTGTTTTAGCACTGTCCTAGACAAAGACAGAACACCAGTGTAATAAAATACACAAACTGAACTTCTTGCCTGCAGCTCCATGACAGAGCAAGCAGTTAGACTACACTAACACTAACATTTCTAACATTCCTTTAGCCAGTCTGGATGGGCATTTATACACACTATAAAAGCCATGATCAGTGCAGTCTGAAGGAGAAGAAAACATGCCAAAAAGAAAAATGAGTGTAGATTTCCCTAAGAAGCAATTTCTCAACATGAATGAATGTGATCTTAGGACACCAAATATTTAACCAAACAGTAAGTAATTCTCATCTCAGATTTTTAATTTTGCAGTAAAATTGAAACAGTAAAACCAGAGAAAAAAACCCTCTTATAAAAAAAGAGTTTGTGTAATCTCCATCTCCAATAGTCAGCCCCACCATTTGGCATTTGTAGGACATGGGAAGTTCCCTCCCATCAGTGGTAAAATTCAGACAGTAACACCACGTTTTGTGTGGAGCCCTACCTTCAGAGTTGACTGCCAAAGGTTGGAACTGTTCATCCACCACAACAAGGGAACAGGTAGCATCAAACCCAAGCCCTCGAATCTGGCTGGCATCCACTCCACGGACAACTTCCTGAAAATACACAAAACACACAGGAATACAAATACATCCATGCATGTGCAAGTGCCATGTGATCTAGAAAGCACATAAATGAGTTACAAGTTAGTTCAAATGATGAAATCTCCTAAATTCAGTGTTCTTTAAAACATCCCATTGTAAACACACATCAAATTACCAGAAATTCTTTGTGTTTCAAATCCGAATTCAGAGGTCTTTATCCACAGTCCTGGATAAAAGCAGGAGGCACAAAAATATCAGTTAATAAAGGTAGCAGAAAACCTGCAATGTTAATTTTCTCTCTTTTCTAAAGCTTGGAACTGAGCTGGATGTGAAACATGGGCCTGGATTAGGACTGAGTGTTTCCATCAGTTACTTCACTGACTTCCTGCCTGTGAAAGCAACAATCTTCCAGAATTGCTTTGGTAATATTGTGTTTGTCTTGCAATACTGAAGGGTCCCAAAACTAAAGTTGGTCAAAACCTGTAGCCATGATAACACCTCTCCAATGCCCACCTTTGCTCAGCTACCAAGAGTGTGAATAGCATGCTTTTTGGAAGCTTTTAAAAAAAAATCCAAATCATTGCCCCAGAATGCCTGAACTTCATGGCTTCCAGCAGCCCTGGAAAAAAAAACACAACACCCACAAGGATTAAGTGCCAAATGAGGTTGCAAGACACCTAAAATGTAGCACGGTAATAAATTGCCACTTCTCAGCAACAATAAAAATATCATTATTTTAATTAGTACTATAAGGAAAGACTTTCAGTAGACTTGCACAGTGCCAGTCTCTTACTGGCTCTGTAAAACTGCAGTTTCTGAGACCATTTTATTGCTTAAATATAAGAGATTGCATTTAAAGAGGTCAAGAGCAAGAATAAAGCCACTCAGACAGAGAAAAATCAAATAAGCAGAGGAAGACTTTGCTTTAATGTCAAACTGTTCTTTCCTATCACTGCTGTCACTCCCTTCTTTTCCTTCTATCCACTCACCTCCTCTTCTCCATCTCAGGACATTTCTGCAGAGCCAAGCTCATTAATGTTTGAAAAGGCTGATCAATAACAAGACAATGGGTGAACAGTCCATCTGCAAATTACCAAGCGTATCATGAATATTTAAAAAGCCAACCTTAGAACATGCAGCAGGCAGGGCCTGTAGTGAGGAGGATGAAATGGACTCTGTGTGCACTGCTAGCAAGGTCTCTAATTTACCTTTATCCTCAGCATGTACAGGCAGAGCCCTGGATCAGAGGGTACAAATTTTCCCCTGTAGTAAAGTCTGTTTCAATCTGGTTTTATACCTGATACCATCCACAGACATTTGTTGTTTATTTTGGTCTTATAATACTGGATCCCGTTATAAAGGGGATAACAAGTGTTACTTTAGGGGCCATCCACAAACCAGATTACAATTCCTCTATAATAAATTCTCCTTTATGACTCCAGGGCAGCCCAATGCACATCTCTAGATATATGCATTGCCAGGTTCTGAGCAACCTTGACTCCTCCAAGAATTGTCTCGTGGGTAGAGCATACACCAGCTAAACAAAGCTCACAGATGTGAGACCTGGAGGCAGTGGGTAAATCTTCCCTCTGCAATAATAGCACAAAGAAAGTTCTTTCGTTCTATTTTCCGTTGTAGCATGAGTTTTTTTTCACCCTGGCCTTCAACTCCTCACCAGTAAAACAGACATTTGTGGGGCTGCATCAGCCTCAAGGTGCTTTCAATGCACAAGGGTGGTCACAAGTTACACAGCATGAACAGACCCGAGTAGAAGTGGCAGGCATGGGGACTGCAGGACTGTGAACATTCAGAACTTGCAGAACCACCTGCAACACAAATCCTTCATTTTGTCCTCGCCCACCTTTGTGACAGAGCAGCAGGCAGCCCAGATGTCTGCAGAGGATTGCTCATAGTGGTCTGGCTGGGGCTCCCAAACCTGGATGGGGTGCTCTGCGTGTGCCACCACCGTCCCAAAGCCGTCCACCAGCGCCGCGCGAACACTGGCTGAGCCCACGTCAACTCCAACGTAGTATGTCACTGCAGTCTGCTTCTCACCAGGCATTTTTAATAAAACCTGTTGAAGGAAAAGGAAACAAAAGGGGTTAAAAGCAGATAAAATGACTGATGGAAAAAGTGCCAAGAGCTGCTGCCTCCCATCAAGCCAAACATCCCACCTGTGGTGTGATGCTGGTAATTATAAAATAAATACATGACAATCGGTTACATGTTACACAGAGGAAAAAAAAATAAAGTTTCCAAGACCTCTCCACCATCAATTCACACCACTTTTAAGACTCAGAAAATAATTTTCTGAAAATGTGTTGAGCCATGAGATCATGGTGTGAAAACTCTGCCTACTCCGACATCCTACAAGAACAAAGTGAGGTTAAGTTAATTGATTTAATTATTCACAATGAGTTGCTTATTTCACTATATTAAGTTTAACTATTTGACATTTAATACAGTGACAAATTCACTGTTCTTACTTTCTCACGGTTTATTCTTAATTAATAGTTAACATTTACATTTTAATCAAGCTGTGAGAATGCTAAGTAAGAGCTGATAGAAGTATCTGAAACATCACACAAGAATCACATTTAGTGCTTGTATGAACCTTTTACATCTCTGAAACACATGAAACTCAGCTGACACACAGATTCTGATATTTAGAAAATGAATGGATAAATTGGCATTTAAAACACATGGTATTTACAGAGCATCAAAATGCATAAAAACAGTCCCCTTCTCCTAAAGAAGTGACCTGATAATATCTGCATATGGCAGATGGGGTGGTTAGAGGGAGGAATATAGGCAAAAGGGAAAAGATTTGGAAAGTCTTGATTAACAGAATATGCTTATTCACATTTCAAATTAATTTTTTTTTCTTTTTTTAATAATAATATTGAGTATAGGTCAAGATCTACTGGCATAATGTAGGTGTCTTTCACATCCATAGCTGTCTTGTAACCACTGCTGCTGAGAGCTATCACAAATCTACAATCATTGAGGGTTAGAGGCAGTAGGTGAATAGAGAAGAAAACAGGAAGCACCCCATCTCAGAAAATTCTAATGCTGGATAATAATTAATTAGGATAAAGTTTCATTTGCACTGAAAATGGCATAAAGCAACACCTTGGCTGAAGAAACCGAGGCTTCCCTTCCTCCCCCTTTAAACAGCTTATGGAAATGTGGTCAGTCTGTGATCACACAATCATTCTTCCTTGCTTCAATCTGGCACTTCATGCCCACTGCTGGGTCCTGGGCCCATGGTTTTGTTCTTTGCTGGGCCAGCACTAGGGAGTTCTGTCCCTGGTACAGACCAAAGCAGTCACCACACCACATTCTGCTCACAGCCTGCAAGGTCACCAGAGTGCACAGATCATCAGCTTGTAACAATGTCAGATAGTAGAAAAAAACTCCAAGCTATAGAGCATATTGAGGTCCTGCTGGAAATCCTGGCTGCTGCCTCCCAGCATGCTGGTTCTGCCCAGCAGATTAGGTGCAACACACACTAATCTCCTTAAGCAAGGTCATGTGTCCAAGAGATGAGCAATCAGCTAAAAATAATGGTGTGCCATGAGTCTAACACCTAGGAATATTGGCAAGGAGGCCTGCTTTATTTTCTTGGCCCTGGCTCTGTGACCTGGTCAGAGGAACAAAAGCCAATCTCTCTGCCAGAGAAGACAACTCCGCTGCTACGGGTGATTAATACTGCATCTGTCACCTGGGGGGTGACAGCACTCAGCTTCTCCCTCTTAGCCCTCAGCTGGAAAAGCAGTTTCAAGATATTCTTTTCAACACAATATTTACTTCTTCATTTTGCACTCCACCTCCCCAAAGCTCCAAAGGCTGGCTGCAGGTGCTGCAAGTTCCTTGTGAGAAATTTTACTACAAAGACATTGCATAATACTGTCCCTGATACTATCTCATAAATTTCCCTGTTTTTCCCCTATTTCAGCTCTGCCTTTATCTGCTGACTCATAAAAATTTGAGAATAAACCACAATCTGCAAATCAGATTCTTTTTTTTAAAACATAGGCAAATCCTTCTTACTTGCTCTTCACTAAATACAAATAGCAAAAGGAGTATTTTATATCCTGCCTCGTGCTCACACACACAATATTACTCCAAATTTCTCTTCCTTGTATGGCAGCCTTGATTTTACCTCATTAATGTGTTTTTGCTACTTAGAGAACAAGCTTAGCAGATGTTAGAGAATTAAGCTCACAGTACCTCCTACTCAGCACTTGAAATTATGGCTTTGCATTGGATTCTTCCCACAAACATTTGAAACCTGGAACCCAATCTGCCCATGTAATGTTTACTTTCCTTTTTTTTCCTTACTAAGCAACCAGGATGTGCCTGTGTGAGTGACTGGGCAGGAAGCAGAGTTTGTTTATGTGCTCGAGCAGTGCATATCAGCCTTTGCACATCCACCAGTTCATTGCTGTCAATCAGTGGGAACAGGAAAGAGTTAAGTGACAGTACAAAACCAAGAACCCCAAACTTAATTTAACTGGTCTCTTTCTGAATAAAACTCACCTAGATTCACAAAGCAGCACTCAATATCTCATTAAAAAAAGGCTATAAGCAAATATTAATCCTTTTTCAAGAAGAGCAAGCACTAAGTTACAGAGGCTTTTCAAAGTAAAGTGTCTCTGCAACAGGATCTGATCTGCTTGCAAAAACATAATTTGATGCCAAAGGTTTTTTTGGAATACCAAACACTTGGTATGCCACCTACTTATCAGCCCCATCCACAAAAAGCACTGTCATCTCCAGGTCATAAATGTCAGCAATTATGGACTCTGCCCAAGGGTATTTCTTGAGAACCTAAGAACTCAGCAGAGAAGTTGGTGGAAAATATTTAGCCAAAGTACAGTGATAAGAATTTTAAAGAGGAATGCTGTCATTCTGTTTTGTTTCCAGAAGATTCCTTTGGTACAAAAGGAAGCTCCAAATCAGAGATGAAAGAACTCTTTAATGGAGTTCAAGGGTAGCAGAAGCTCCCTGCACAGACTTCTTGCTTTGGAATTTGGACACCAACATTCATTGCCATGTGAAAAGAAAACTGTTGTGCAAATAAAACATTGATTTGGATTTTTTTATCTGCTGGATTCTTTGCTTCTGCAGGCAATATAATCACGAGGAAAACTGAACCAGAAAAAAAGACTGAAATAAAATGTCCTAAAAGTCCAGTCAGACAGGTCAGTTCATCAAGCACAATATTAACATGACACCAAAATATTTTATGCATGGCTGATTCATGTCCATGGACTTCCAAGGGGTGGAAGGCAGTGGAGTCAGGACCTTCTAAATCCATGAAGTATCTGAAGTCAAGCCTGGCTCCTTGCAGCCAAGAAGAAAGGCCTCCTTCAATACAGTCTTGTCTGTCCACTGCAGAATTCAAGCCTCATATTTTCAATTTACTATTTTAATTTGCAAACAGAAGTAGAGGGACATAGGAAAAAAGTTAACTTAAAAGACATGTCCAGCTTGACCGTGTAAATCCATTACTGGAACTGCTAAGTCAGGACAAGAAGCCAAAATTCCCTCCAAGCACTAAACCAGCAATGGCCTCCTTCTCTGCAAATCACAGCAGGGACAGAATGGCTTTTCAAACAAGTATTTATGATCAAAAGGCTACAGCATATTATAAATATTTATATGGCCCATTAAATAATAGTCTGTATAAATATTATTCAAAATGTGCATGCTGGAAACCACAGACTTCCCAGTTTATCCTTGTACAAACGTGTTAGTTTTCCCACATAAGCAATGAAAAAAGAAAAAGAACGGGTGAAACTCAGTTGCATAAATATTAAAAAAAAAAAAAAAAGAAAGAAAGAAAATCCTTGACATTATTTACTTTAATTTAAAAGGAATGAGTAAGTAACCAGAGGAGTTTTTCATGAGCACTGTTAGACTTATCTGTCCCACTTTACCTCACGGTGATCGAGCTGCCAGGACATACCTTTCTGCTAAAGCCAGGGTGCAGGAGGGGCTGCACTCACTTCAACATAGGCCCAAGCTCAGCACAAGCTTTCAGCAGCAGCAATTTAGACTTCGTGGTGCTGTGTGCTTAAACACAAACAATTAGGAAGGACTGGCATATCTGTTTTAAACTTTGATCTCTGGAACGCTGCGGGCTGCCCAGACCCGGTGATTGTGGATAAACACTGCGTTTTTAGCAGTGCAGCTGTGCTTGTCTATGGGTTACCAAGAAAAAGATTAACAGGCTCAAATTAGGCTTCATAAGCTTTGTGTGAAAAGATCTAAATATGCTAAAGAGAAGATGCTTTTCAATTGTAGAAAGGATATAAACCAAAACAAGACCTTTGAACATTATAGTGGAATTTCAGCACTTTGTTGGCTTGCTAGTATTGGTAAGTAACCAATACAAGTGGTGTTGGTAGAGTGGCAGTATCTCCTCGAAGACAGTGAACTCCCTTTCCTCTTCCAGCTTCTGTAATTCCTGTTTGAATGTGGAAAGAGAAAGAAGGCACATGGCTGTGTGGGAGAGCAGGAGCAGATGGGGAATTCTAACACTGTGGTGAAGGGCAGTACTAATATAGAAAATATCCTTAAATGCCCAAGGGAGTGTGCTATAACTATCAACAAGCATTTATTTGTCAGCTACCCCACAGCAAACAAAACAAACATAAAGAACAAAAGCACACCTCACCTCCCCTTTTTCCCTTCCCCAAACAGAAATATGTACGTCCAGGATCTCTGTCTTAGGTAACAGATCTCTGTCCGTGCTAGCAGTAACAAAATTGGAATAAATAAAAATGGAGCTGGGGAAAATATGCTTTTTCATTGAAAACCAAACACCTCTAGATTCTTTCAGCAGTTCTCTGGTACATTCTGTGAAGTTTTCTTGCATCTTACAAGGAAAAATAGCTTCAAATAATGGAATATTTCAGTAGTGGGATAAAACTCTGATTCCAGTCCTATAATATTTAGACTGTTCCATCAAAACCTTCCTAACTGTCCCCCTAACACTGTAATGCAATTTCAATAAATCCCAGCATAGGCAGGACTGATAATATTCTACTATTTTCTAGTATCTCTTTTTCTCTCTATAAATAATTCACTATGTACTAATTTGCTGTAATGTCTCTCCAGATTTTTTTTCTTCCCCTTGCTTTCAGTGTCCAAGACAAAGTCATTACTTCATTGCTGCCCTCTGCCCTCTAATTCTATATTTTGGATTTTAAATACTTTCAGGCCAAACTACTTCCACCTTCTCTGATTTAAGGCAAGCACATTTGGGTTTATCCTGGTGTAACAAGGAAGTGGAGAAATTAAAATGACTAAATTATTCTAAGAAATTAGATCCAAAATTTGTTTCTTTTCAGCTTCTACTGCCTACATATTTATCTCACTCAGGAACAGAGAAGGATGTCAGCATGATTAGTTGACATTGGTAAATACCAAGCTCTTACATGTACAGCAGAGTTGGTTTTCTCTATATTCTGCTCAAGAAGAGTTTGTACTAAACAGAAGAATTATTTTCTCTCCTTCCAGTTCCTGTCTTTAGCTCACACAGGCACACAGTCTGTGGTACTGATGATCAAATAGGAGCAATGGCATTCTGGCCCCTGATTAAAGAGCAGAGCATGGCTGTGCTGGGTCAGATGAAAGGTCCAATTAGCCCAGGATCCTCCACGAACAGCAGAAGCTGTAAGAAAAGCATATGCCTGCCCTTTTCATCCAGCAGTACTTCCCCAGGACACCTTTCCTCCTGCTATCTATAGTAAAGGCACTTCCTGAGCCAGAAATTTTATCTTTAGGATTCGCAGATCTTGAAGGCTTTTTCCTCTCTAAATTTGTGCTCTTTCTGGATCCAAGGAAACTTTTCTCACTGCAAACTACTGTGCTAACAAGTTATAAAGTTCTGTGTAAACAATGCAGGAAAAAGCCCTTTGGTTTGTTCTGAGCGTGCCACCTGCTAGTTTTGTTTGATGTGTCTGAGTTCCTGAGCTAGAGGAGACATTAAGCAATTGCTGTGTATTTACTTTCACCATGCAGGCATGACTCCATCGCATTCTGAATCACCCCCAAAGGCCTCACTGCCACTATCCACAGATCATGTGTACTGAGCTGAACTCACAATCTCTGCATGGTCAGGTAAGACAAAAAGCATTTTCCTGCTCTGAGTGCTCATGGATGTGGCAGTAACAAAAGTACCATAACCCACTGCAGTAGTCAGTACTAATAAACAGCAAGAAATAATGCCAAGGCCACTGTGGGTAAGTGGAGATACTGCTCAGAGATGCTGCAGTAGGAAAACAATGTGTTGGTGTCAGCTGAGAGGTGCTGCTCAGGAGCACGGAACTGGCCAGGGATTTCTAGTTTCATGCAGGTCCCAAAACACTGAGCTCACTGAGAGGGATCCAGGAGCTCCTTCCAACTACATGCTTGGGGGAGACTTGGGACTACTGCTCCCCCTGGTTTTCCCTGGCCCCGCTGAGGTTGCTGCACGCCCCGACGGGCTCGGCCCAGGCCAAGCACACCCGGCTGTCCCGACACTCCCTGCCTGTAATTCTGGCACACAAAGGAAACAAGTGCAGCTCCCCCTGCTCCAGAGCTCACCTAACCCCGGGAAGAGCAGGAAACAGCTGCGGAGAGGAGCGCTCGGGAAAAAGGAAGGCTGAGAAAAGGGCTGGGAGAACACACAACATGAGATGAGAAGACACAGCCTTCTGTGGGGAAAACCAACAGCTCCGATTCCCTCAGAGCTCTCTGGGCCCTGCTGGGACTGGGCCATCACTTCAAGAGCAGGCTCTGATCCTGCATCCATCAGTGGCAACCTCCCAGCCACTACCCAGAGTTCAGGACTAAACTCATGAACATCATAGGTGCACTCAAACAACGGCAGGATTTTGAACACTTGTCATAACCCCCAATCTGTCCAATAGAGGAAATGTTGATCAGAAAATGCCAGGACACAATTCCCAGGCAGGAAAACCTAAGGAATAAGGGGGATGTATAGCAGCACCCTTTCTTTTCCCCAGCCTGGCAATGGCGGTGGATACAGGTCACACACACCACGCTCCTGAGATCCATTCCCTGCTCTGACGCTGCAGCTGCACAAATCCCCAAAGGCTGTGTTAATGACCTGGCAGACAGACTTGTCCCAAGTGATTCTGCAGAATGCCTGGAGCCCTGAAAGAAGACACTATCTTGTTTACATTGACTGAGGGGGAAAAAATGCCATCTAATTATTACATAAATTCTGGCTGTAGCAGCTTCATGACTAGTTGAAAAGAGGTAACAGGCTCCAAAATGACTGATGGACCCAAGTGTTTGGATCCACCAGCTTATCAATCTAATGCTAAGGAAGATCTTTCACATCCCTGTGTCTCTATCACTTTAACCTACCCATGATGGACAGAGAGAATAATCTCTGCTCTTCGCCTGTAAAATTGATTCATGTACTGTGTCTTTTAAGTTTTTTTTACTCTATGCTACGATGAAAATAGAGAAACAAATAAAAAATCCTGAATAACCACACCCCACAAGAAAGCAGTACACTTGTAAACACAGCACAATAATGTGATTTTTCAAAATATCTGTTTAAGTTATAAAATGGAATCTGGAGGAGAATGCAATTCAAAAGGCACAATTACAGTTCACACAACAGCTTTAAACTGCATTCCTGCAGCAAACCAACCTTGGCACCAGGAGCTTCTGTTCAGGGTACATGGGTCAATACGGCCATCATGCCACTGTGGATACAAATTAGCCAACCTAGGGTAATGCTGATATTCTAACTTTAATCCCATCTTTAGATGCCAGTGCTACGTCAGGGTTGAATCTGGCACTAACCCTGTGATTACATATCAGCAGATCAGTATAAAAATAATTTGTTCTGAGCTCACAGTTTTATGAAATGATAAAACATCAAAATTAGCATTCTGGCTGAAATCCACTGCATTTCCCATCAAGGCTTACACATTTAAGCAACATCTGAACCAACTGCCTATAATTACTCCTGGCAGATACTGGAGCACTTAGGCCAGTAGTAGATGCAACAGTGAAATAAATTTTTAAAGACATGCTTCAAACCACTTCAAGATGCTCAGCCCAGAAGCAAACATGTGTCCATAAACCCAATCCATGGTTTATTTTACAGGATTTGTTCACTCTTGCATAGTAAAAGCCTGAGAAGAATGACAGCCACAAGTAATCTGTCAGTTTAAAATTAAACATTTATTTGGGCTGCAATTTCAAAAACACTCGCCCCGAAGTTCCTGTCACAACTACTTAGGAGGAAGTGGGGTTGCATATTAGCTTAGGTTAAAAGAAACACTAATTCTGCACAAAATCAGTTATTTATTTATTCAAAAGAACTAAGGTTTTAAAATTATAATTTAACTGAGAACATAAAATGGAGAAACAAAAATGTATACTAAGAACACACATAAACATTTCCTATCATAGAACTAGTTTATTTGGTCTCTCCTGACACTATAAATTTATTTCTGATTCTTATAGCTGGGAACAGCTGTCCGTACAAGCAACCAGTTCTCTCTGCATTAATCCTCCTATCCCAGACACTCTTCCCAGGAAAAAAGAAGTGCCTCTTTTTTTTTTTTTTTCTATATGCTCATATACATTCCTGAAAGAAAGGGACCATTAGCATTACAGAGCCTTTAAAATTTTGTTGTTTTTGTATTGTATCTACGTACACTTAAAATAAGTTAATCCCAACTACTTAAGTAAGTGTTCTTCCAGGATAAGAAAATAGAATTAAATACATGAGAATGAAATACACCAGAATGAAATACACACGAAGGAAATACATGAGAATGAAATACAAGGGAATGAAATAACAAGAATGAAATATACGACAATGAAATACAAGGGAATGAGATACAAGACCACCTCCCCAACAATGTGTCTGCTTCTTACTTTCTAAAAGCCTCTGAGCCCTCTCCTCTACTTCCCTGGAATTTGTTTTGTAAGTGCTCTCCAGAGAAGAGCACTGGTGTTAAGTTTATTAAACTTCCTAACAAATCCCAGGCACCTCAGCAGGGAAGGAATCTGCCAAGTTACCAGTGCCTCACCGGGGCAGAGCCTGGCACCAGCGAGGAACACGGCCGTGCTGGCAGCTCCCGAGCCAAGCACGAGTAAATTCCAGCAGGTTCCTGGGGTGTGCTCTGTGCCAGCCCAGGAGCTGCTTGGGATCACAGGGGCATGACAAGGAGACAAGGAGACAAGGCTGTGACAGAAAGGGGAGCTGCATGAGGACGAGGGAGGCAGTGGTGGCAGGAGGACACCGGTGCCAGCAGCCCCTGTGCCAGAGAGATGAGACTGGAGACGACATTTATGGAAATCTCCTGGGGATATGGAGGATTAGGCAAGTGTGTGAGGGATGTGTATGTCCCACCTGCCCAGGTCAGGTCATCTGAGTGCTGCCCTTTGACAGAATCACAGAAAAAGCTGAGCTGGATAAGGACACTCAAGGACCATCAAGTCCAACTCCTGCACCTGCACAGAACCCCGAGAGCCACACCATGTGCCTGAGATCATGGTCCAAATGTTCCCTTGAATTCTGGAAGGTTTGGTTCTGTGACCCTTCCAGGGAAACCTGTTCCAGCACCCAACCACCCTTTGGGGGAAAACCTTTTTTACTATCCAACCTCAAGCACCCCTGAGACAAGTTCTCACGTCGCATCACTCGGCATCACAAAGAAATCAGCGTGTGCCTCTCCTGTTTCCCTCAGGAAGCTGTATTTGAAGCACATGGGAAGACGGCTGGGATAAAGGTGATCCAACAGCACAGGAGGCACTGGCAGGATCCCCGTGCCCACCGCAGCCCTGGGCGCCCCTGAACGAAGGGCTGCCTGAATGAAGGGCTCTCACTGCATTGCAGTGGGAGTTACACACGGCTGTGCTGCACGGAAACGTCAGGAGGAGACAACTCGGGACAGCCAGAAGGACGCAAACCCCCTCGGCTGCACGAAAAGCGGGTTCTGAGCTCGCTCGGGGCGATGCGAGCGCTCAGCCCACGCACGGCCGGGGCCCGCGGCGGCGGCGAGGGGGCTCCCTGGGCAAGGAGGCGGCGCTGGTGATTAAACAACAACACGAACGCGAAACCTCCTTGTAGAGCAGCAGGATCCGAGCCCTAACGGAGGAGGACGGAACCCTCCGGGGCGTCACGGCGGAGAAGGGGCAGGAATGAGGGCAAGGAGAGGGGCGGGAGCCGCGCTGAGTCAGCGCGCGCTGCGCTCCCCTCAGCCGCGCCGAGGGCCGGCGGCCGCCGTGCCCGGGCCAGCGCCGTCACTTACTCGTGCAGCCATCACTTACTTGTGCCCCCGGCACTGCCCGGGCCCGCACAGCCCGGCGGGGCCGTCCCCTGAACCCGCTGCTGCCGGGAAAAGCGCCGGGCTCCCCTTGCGGGCTCCCCGTGCCCGGCCGGCCGCGCCTGCGCCGGGAAGGGGCGGGCCGGGGCAGCGGCGGCGCTGAGGGGCAGCGGCGGCTCGGGCCGGGAATCGCCCGCGTCTGAGCCGGCAGCAAGGAAGGGGCTTGGCGCGGGTTGGTAAACGGGTGGTAAATCTTATTTTCTGCCCCTACACGGGTGTGAAATATCGGCGGTCGAAGAAGCTTTGGAGCGGTGCAAGAAGGCATGTGGAGACCGCTGAGAAAAACGTATGCAGTATAGGAGAATAAATATAGTGGTGCAAGAAGGCAGTTGGAGACCACTGAGATGAATGTATACAGTATAGGAGAATAAATATATAAAAACATAAAGGCAAATAAATATGTAGAAACGTATAGAAGGATAAATAAAAAGGAGGGAATGTCAGGGCACAGGGCATCTCTCATCCTGAGCCTCCTTAAATATCCCTTAAATGAGTAAAAGAGGGCTGTGAGCCATGAGTTTGGGTGTCTGCATGGGGTCGCTCTGAGAGTTGTACCTGAAAAGCTGGGGAGTTGCTGAAAACCCTGAGTTTAGTTAAGGTTTGCTTCAAATGGAGAGAGGATGGGGCACCTGGATGCCCTCAAATGCAAAACAGAGAAATCACAGAATCAATGAGGTTGGAAAAGACCTCTCAGACCATCGAGTCCAGCCCATGGGCCAGCCACGGTTTGGGACCAGATCCCACCACACCCCTGCATGA